TCTCTCTCTCTCTCTCTCTCTCTCTCTCTCTCTCTCTCTCTCTCTCTCTCTCTCTCTCTCTCTCTGTAGTCGCTACGGCGACGCGACGATGCCGTTGCCGTTTATAGCGATCGTCGAGAGATATACACTCTCGATGCGGAATGCACGCCCGCTCGGTGTAAAGCGCATCTCACAGCGGTGTAAACACGCGCGCTCCCCGACACGTGCCGAGTTCCCCGGGGAATCTCTCCGGAGAATCGAGGGCAACTGGTTAGCACCGACTACGGTCTATATATCCGTTTCCACAGCTCGGAGAGCCGCAAACCCGGCGGAACCGTATCTCCGGTTGACGTCAGGCGTATCGTCCCCGCGCCACCGTCGGCGCCGCCGCCGACGCTGCTGACGACGACAACGACGACGACGACGGCGACGTCGACGGCGGCAGCGGCGTCGGCGGCGTCGGAACACCACGGGGAAATCAAGCGTTCTCCGCTTTTATTTGCATAAAATGATGGGACTGACCACGTCACGTTCGAAACGTCGGCCTCGCTGATTTTCCCTGCGAATTTCATTATTCCCCGGCACGCTCTCCGCCTCGCCCGGCACTTCGATTCCGCGGGAACAACAGGCTGCGACGATCATTAAGCCGGATGCAAATGGGAAAACGCGCCAAGAAATTCCCGTCGTCGCGGATGTCTTTTTCTCTTATTCTATCTCGACGAGATCACGAGCCGCGAGGAGAAAGGACTCCGAAATAGCTCCGAGGGTCATATCCGCGAGAGGATTATCGTGTCGATTCTCCCTGACGCATCGCTCGGTTGACCGCGATCATTCGTGCGAATCTGAAAAGGCGTGGTGCGAGCTCTCTCAAAAGAAAGAGAAACGTTGGTTCAAGTAGAGAAGTCTAAATTTCTCACAGGCTAAAATTTATCGCTGCTTGTTGCGTCTCCTAGAAAATCGTCTATATATACTGAGAAAAAATACTCGAAAATTGATTTATGGGATATGAAGCTTATATTTCTGCAAAATGTGAAGTTTATTTCTATGGGAATAAACTTTATGTCCCACTCAAATCAATATTCAAATATTTTTCCCCCGTAAATTTAGAATTTACGGCAGCGGCATTCCCGCAATAACAGGCCTGCTCCTTTTAACTGAACTGTCTAAAATGGTGCACACTGGTGTAATAAGGTAAAGTGAAACAAAATGTTTCACTCTAACTTGTTCCACCAGTGTGCACCAGTTTAAACAGTTCAGCTAAAAAAAATAGACCTAATATCCGCAAGCAAATTTAGGTGGGACAAGCATTACACATTCGCTTGTCGTTTTTCTCTGTTTTGTCTACCGCAGTCAATTTTTATAAGAAGACTGGTTTTAATCTGGATGGGCGTCATAGAGAGACAGAAAGAGGGAGAGAGACTTTCTCACTGAATTTCGCAAGTAGTTTCGCAAGTAGAAATTATGTCTTTATCATCTCTACGTCGACGAAGTGCAAAGTGATATCGCAGTGTTTGCCAATCATTTGTCCGTCTTAGCTAACTCCTCGAATTTAGATCATTTTCGGTATGACTGCAAGACCGTGTTTCTGAGTAAGAGAAAGAATTCAGCGACCTTCGGACATGCAGGCTGCTCTCTCACAGACACTCCAACGGCCGAATCGCCGCGTTCCAGAACGTCCCAAGGATGTCAAGGTAACCGGGCGTGCTCGCTTTTTCGCTCGCCGATCACGCGATTTCCTCACAACTTCACGTGAATTTCGGTTTTCTCTGCTTTTTTTTCCGGACGGTGCGCGACTTCTCGCGAAATCCGGGACGGGCCGAATCAGCGCGCGCGGTCGCGCGAATCGGGATTATATCGACGGGAGGCTCGCGCGCGCGGCCAAAGCGGGTGAAAACTAATTCGCCGCTCGGATATTTTTAATTCGCCCACGAGGGTGTGCGCGAATAGGGAGGGGGACGGTGAAAAAAATCACTTTCGCGTTGATTGTAACCGGCAGCGGCGGCGAGCAGAGCGGTTTACGTAGCTACGTAGGTACGTACGTGCGCCTGTACAAACATTATCGGGCCGATGGCTCCGGAATCCGGCCGGCACTATCATCCGGCTGCTATCCCAACCGAGCAGCACTTAATCCCGCCAAATATAGTCGGAATTCCGCAGCATTGTTGCGCGCACACGACGAGCAGATCTGAATATTACCGTTGCGCACCGTCATACTAATCGCTCTGTCGCTCGGCTATACTGCGATTAATTATCGGCTGAGCGCGTAATCCACAGCTCGCGTTATAGTGAACAAACGGACGGGCGAAACTTGAGACGAAATCAATTTTCGTCGGAACGCACAATTTTCCTGCTGCTTCCTTTCTGCTGGGAGCATTATCCGCATGGATCATCGGCGTGTCGTATTTCTGCTCGACGATCGTCGTGTAAATCCCGCGAAATATTAATGGCTGGATCTCGTCTCTTTTCGGTTTTCTGGAGCAAACCGGATATAACCACCTGGGATCATCAGGAGCAGCAGGGGATGAATTTCTCGGGTCGGGAGGAACACGAATACAAAACGCGAAACTCAAGAGATAATCTTCGACGCTGATCAGCGCCGGGGCGCGTCTTGGAGCAGCAGTCGCGAATTAAACGGCGGAGGGTACGCGACTGCCAACTCTGACAGTTAATCTTGGAAACTCGCCAGCGGGTAATAAATCTGCCAGTCGGGCGACCAAAATTAAGTGGCTAAAATATTTACGCGCGCGCGCTGTCTGGACGGGAGATGTAATCAGCGCAAATTTACGGGGGTCTCGGATACGCCTCGCGTGATCGGCACGGATTAGAGAGATCGACTCGTATCGATCGACACTCGCGTCGCGACGCGAAAACCCTTTGACTACCGCATTACACGCTATCATTAAAGCAGCGACGCGCCGGACTGCTGCTGCCTCTTTGCGAGAATCAGACGTCGTCGCCGTCTGATCGGCGGAGCGACGGCGGATCAGCGATGAATTTTTCAGAGTGCTTAAACGAAAAATCCCCCGACTCGTCGAGTACCGTCCTCGCCGCACAAGGCACACGTGACGCTTTCTCTCTCTTTCTCTTGCTCGCTCGCTCGCTCGCACACGTCGATATCGATGAGCTCTCGAGCGTATCCATTAAATCGTTCGATGGCAGCAATGTGCCGTTGTAAATGCGATACGTGAGCCAAGGATCCTTACGATCGTCCGTATGGATGGCAAACGCTGACAAAGGTCTTCAGAAAGCTCGCCGCACACGCGCGTTCCTTTCTGCACCAGAAACGACCACCACCCCTGACCCACCCCTGTCGTCCCACCTCGTCCGATGCACACACACACACACATACACAACGCACGAATACATCCGCGCGAGCGAGTAATCGTGGAGCCCCGTACGCGACGGTGTTTC